AAAAAAAATAAACTTCAGCGTTTTGTACAAAACAAGAAGCAAAAGGTTTTACTTATATCATGGTACAGAGTCAACTGCACACTTACGGTTATCCCACTTGTCTCCAATTCCTACGTTGGTAATGTGATATCCTCGTTTTCTAGCATACTTCTTGGCTTCCATTCTCTTCGCTTTGTGCACGTTGACGACTTCCTCTGGTTAGGCCAAAAATGTTCCGCTTTGGTGCTTTTTGAGTGTACGTTCCACTAGCAGTTCGCACCCTTTTCGAGCTGTCCTCGTCTTCCGACGACAGACTAATGATCGGCACATCAAGATCGCCATTTTCTTCGGCGATACTAGACGTGATTGGTGTCGCCAACAGGTCTAGCGCTGGTGGATCTTTAACGTGGGATGCATCACGATGCGGGGTTTGTTGTTGAGCATTCTCTCGATCCTTGTCGCCATTGCTGGTACTGCCGCGAGAGCTGGAAAGGCCGTGATAAACCAAACTACATGCCCACTGGCACTTGTAGAACTTGGGATGCCACTGGAAAAAGTAGTTTTCCCACAGACGCATCATCTTGCAGCTCACCCAAGGCCAGATAGGGCCATCGTGCATCTCGTAATTGCTGTTTGAGTACAGCTCAGGCTTCATGAGCACGGGTGTCCACACAGAGACCGAGTTATACTTGACCTCGTTCACATCTCGCTGCAGTCGCGAGTCGTACATGAATGTCCCGTATAGTCCCGAAGTCAACGCGTTCGCCAAGTGCAATAAAAAGCGTTCATTGAACTCGAACGACCGGGGATATTGACGTTGCATCTGCCAGACAGCGTCGATGAACTGGAACATAATTGGCGAAGATTTGTTGCGTTGCGGGTCTCGGTTTCGGTCACTGCCGCACCTTTCAGCGTACTTGTGTCCAAATGCTAACCAATCTTTCTCCACGAGTGTAGCAAAACCACGGATGGTGCGGTAGTACGGGTCGATAATCAATTGCGCTAGAGCACAGAGTTGAGCAGTTCGATCCCAGCCATCACTGCAATGGACAAGTGCAGATGCTCCTTCGAGTTCCAACACTCGCGCGATCTTTAGAGCACCATCCAGTACCAACCGAACGTGGTCAAGCCACCGCGTAGATTCCACACTTGATAGCCACGTACGGTC